TTACATTCTGTAAAGTTTCTCTTCTTGCTTGCTTTTGCCATTGCTTTGTCGTTTGGTTTTGCCAAAGTGGAGTCATTACCATATTTAGCAGATATGCATTACTGTGATTTAAGTGGGATGAACAAGAGTCTATATAGCTAAAATGTGAATTTTCACTTACTATTCTGACAGAATAAAGCATCCCGGATATGTTGTCCAATAGGAGTTTAGCTCCAGCTCTGGTGGGGTGCAGCCCATCAGCACGAAAAGCCTAGAAAAGATTCCATTTTATGCAGTTGACCAATCAAAGCTTCTTGAGGGCAGGCCTTTCAGAGGAACTAGGAAATCTGACAGTCTTTTCATGTTAGCTGAGTAGCTGTATATAATCAAAATAAGTTATATTAAAAAATGATGTGATTTTCTACAAGAAAAGCATGAGCACACACTTCTTTGCATCTTCTAAACACAGCCAAGCCTTAAAATTACACTCTGGAGCAGCCTTTTAACAAATCAGGTTACAACATCTATATGTGTGACAGTTAATGACGTTAATGTTGTTGTTTTGAGACTGTAAGCAGAGTGGCCTTTGAAGCTGGCTTCTGCTGCTAAATCTACAAACTATTTTCAGTAAACTTTCTTACTGAATCTCTGACCCCAGCTCTTCTTCATCTGACGGACTGGGTTATTTTTTGGGTTCAAACAGTATATTTCTTCTATACTTTATCTGACAAGACATAAATGTGCATAAACTATGATGGAAACACATTTACTAAATAAATGTCAGTTTTTTTAGGAAGTGACTCCTTGGTTCTGTTTGACTTATTGGATGGAAACGCAAATGTGTTTAAGGTAATATTCCAATTTAGCACATAAATCTAATTCACATCTTTAAATGGAAACATAGCTACTGCTTTGCATCACTTAAAGAGATCATGACATGAGAAATCAAATTTACCTTGACATACATTTACTCTATCTTTCTGTTCAACAGAATAAAGAAACTTATAAAATTTTAATTTTATAAAAGTTCTTATAAAATAACACTTTTCCCTGTAAATAACATACTGCATCTAATTAATATATGTAGGGTTCTTTAAACATGCTTATAAGGCCCAGTCATACATGATTATTGCCTATATGTGGTATTAGTTCTTGTACATTTAGAATAAATATTAGTATGAAAGTTTTTGATTAATCACGATTTATTCCTCTATTTTAAATGTCTATTTTATGCATGAAATTGTGTGTATGTTTAGTGAATGAGACTCAATGATTGTAAAGCATTAGCTATCCACTATTTGCACCCCTTTACCTGAACACTATTTCAGGCTTGTGGCTTAAAAGTGTACAAAATCAATTGCGAGAACTTTTACCTTTAATGTGCCGTCCTGCTGGAATGACCTGCTTAACTCCAGCTGAGTCTCTGGTAGGGCTGCACGATACTGGAAAAAACAGACATGTCAATATTGAGTTTTTCTGCTATTTCTATATTGTTATTTGAATATAATTTCACAAGATAACTGTAGTAACACTGTTTGGAAAGAATTCATCATTTTACTTACATTTTACAGTTGAGTGCATAAAATATACAAAATTACCTAAAAATATATTAAAGCACGGATGAAAACAATGATAAAACTGAAATAAACAGCACTTTATGTTTTTTTGTCAAGTATTGAGGTAAAGGAATTCAATAATCAACTGTAAAATAACAGATCATGGAGTCTTTATTAAACAAATAAACACAATCATTCTTTGTTAAAGTGGCTAACTTTATCATTTCTTGAGCCCAAATAGTTTAAATTCACTTAAAATCTTAGTCACAAGCCTTGAAAACACATCAAATATCTTTGACACTATTATATTAGGTTTAAACTTTGTGATCAAATCATGTGCTCTGTATTTACTGGTTAATTATAATACCTACTTGAAATTGAGGTCCCAGCAATCTGACTATTGCTGATTTGCACATTGCGATATCAATGCTGAAACGATATATTGTGAAGCCCAAGTCTCTGGTTATTTTTAAGACAATCTGATCTTTTTTTAGCAGCACGTAATCCTCTAACAACAGCACTCCTTATTGTGTCCTTATCTCCTTATCTGTTTGTCCTGCTTCTTTGTTTATTTCAAAACAATAATAAAAATACACATGCTGCTAAAATAACTAAGATTTGTCACTGCATCTACATCTTGTTGTTTTCTGTTGATCTGAAGTGCTTCTGTTATCTCCATGCTTTAGATAAAATCCTCTGCTAAATGTAAATCTATTTAAAGTTCAGTCATAGCAATGGAAATACAAAGAAATCTGTTTTTTGATTTGATGTGTTACTCATTTTATTAGCCACAGTCAGTGTTATCAGGAGTGTTAATAAAGAGAAATGCTTTAATGTTTATCAAGAACACACTCTAAGATGAATAATAGTTGTTTTTTTACCTGCATTTTCTCTGAAAATAAATACAAGCGATGAAAATCACTGAAGATGTCTGCTGTGGATGTGGTATATGTGTCCAGTTTCTAATGTTCTCCATACGCTTCAGTCTGCTAAAAAACAGAACAAAGAGAGAAACTTTAAACAGCTCATTTGTGTCAAAAATCAGAAGAATCTCAGCATCAGAAATAAACAGACGGTTAAAACATCTCGGACTGCTGATTAACTGTGAATGACTGTTTTATATTGATTATATAAATATAGATACTTCTGCAAATCTGTTTATTGGCAAAACTGGAACTATTCTAATAAAATAAGATGATGAATGAGTGCACCCCACTGAATGTGTGAAGAGAAAACATTAAATAGAATTTTAATTACCAGCAAAATTCATGGATTCTCTGTTATTCAACATGTACATCCCGTTATCACCAGTGTACCCATCTTCTGGTGGCTTCTTCCAGCAGGATTACGCGCCACAGTGCTCAGATGGCATCCACAGTTACCAGATCTCAATCCAATAGAGCACCTTTGAGATGTGGTGGAACGGGAGATTCACATCATGGATGTGTAGCCGACAAATCTGCAGCAGCGGCAAGATGCTATCCAGTCAATATAGACCAAAATCTCAGGGGAATATTTTCAGTACCTTGTTGAATCTATGCCATGAAGGATTAAGGCAGTTCTGAAGGCAAAAGGGGTTCAACCCGGTACTGGTAAGGTGTACCTAATAAAGTGGCCAGTGAGTGTATATTCTCTGTCTGCGTTTTAAACTCCAGAAGTCAGAGATTAAACCATTAATTTTTCTAGATACATTTTTAATGTGTCACCTGTTGCTATAAAGCCTAGAGAGAGTAACTTTCATCCATTCCTTTCCACATATGAATGAATGAAATAAATAAGATAATGGTTTACATGTTACACTGCTGGTCAAAAGTTTGGAAACATCCATATTTTGTTTACTGTTTCTGAGGGAAAAGTATTTTCTGCTCACCATAAGGCAGCGCTTATTCGATCAAAAATATAATAAAAACAGGTGAATAGCCAAATATATTTTTTAATTTACAATGACTGTTTTTTGTGTAAATTAATCTTTAAACTGAATTCATTTTTTGCATAATTATTCCAGTCTTTGGGTGTTTTCAGTCTTACTGTTAGCTTCTCTCTTACTCAGGCCCAACAGAGTCTGAATGCAGACATGATGCAGTCTCAGACAATCTCGGCCGTGCTGTGTATTTTTAATACAAAGAAAGAAATACCAATATGTATATACCTCACTAAAATTAAATAAATGATTTCATTAAAATGTTGTAAGCATACTCTTTAACTGTTTAATAAAATTGTTAGTATTTTTAGGGGACACACTATACTCAATTATGCTGGACACTATAAGTTTGTAAACCCATTTCTTAATGTGAATATCTAACAACATATTTTTATAAATCCATGTCTTTAATCCACATCATGATCCCTATAATTAAATATTCAGAAACAATTCTCAACAAACATGCAATAATCTGCTCTCTACATACTTGTGGTGCTTGGAGGTTTGTTCTTCTTTCTGTCGCTTCACATTCTCTGTGTATATTTCCTTTGCATCCTATTAAACCAAGAACAGCAATGTTTAATATTATTATAATGATTTACAGACACTCAGACATGTGCTAAGATAGACACTAGTGGTCCTACTCTTACTAGAAGTGCCTTTTTTGACCAGTTTAAATTGTCATTCCATACAATTTTTTAAAGTGTATTTTGACAGCATTCTTAAGAGCCATTTATCAAAATCTAACATGAGAAAGTGATAGTCCAGGACACTGACTGAATCCAGTACATTGACCGAAACCACACAGATATAATGTATAATTCAGACACTTCATTAATAGTTATTTTCAAAATACAGTTAATAAATCCAGTTTTTGTCATTCTTTAACAAACAGATGTGAAACATGAGTGTCTATATTCAATATTAAACATTAAACATATATATTTCTTCTCATTGATGTCAAATAACAGAACAAATTCTAATGAACCAGTAATTTATAAAGCCAAACAGGAAATCAGTGAGAAACGCCGCCATTTTATGAATCTCAGCATCACATTAACGTTACTTCTGTATTTGCAGGGTAACGTTAGATGGAGTTTGACGAGACAGATCTGCTGATTTGAATAGAAATACACCACAATATACCGTGTTTAATTTGTAAACAAGCGCTTATCGCCAATAACTTACATTTGAAGAACAAAATAAATGCTAAGACAAATCTTACCTGTACATGTATTTAAATCGACCGATTAAAAAACTAATCTCGAGTTCACCAAACGACCAGTAATGATTCATCAAACAGGAAGTATTTACGAGTCAAACCAAGATTTCCTAAAAAATCAGTTTATTTTGCTCCAAAACACCCGTGAAGGAAACACACAACCGCTAACTAGAGAAGATTAAAGATACACAGCGCAAAACTGACCAATCACGTATCAGTTGGCTGGGAAACGCTGGAACACATTCGAATTCTTACGAGAGACAGCTCTTACATTCCTCATTTCGCCATTACTCTTACTTGACAAGTGTTTAGTTGAGTTGTACAAAGTTTGCTTTGATTAATTTGCTTTTCGTACATTGTCAATTGATAGCGTACGATTTATTAAGGCTTACTCTGACAAACGAGCTTTACTTACAGTGAATTTCAGTATTTATTGTAGGTTTATTTAACATTTCTCATATTTAAGTGTACGGAAATTAACCCCTCATGTTATTTACCGTACTCGGAGTAATTGCTCTCTTCCTGAGAGAAAGAACCATCAAGTCCACCGTCTCAGGTCAAGATGAAAGCATCGACCGTCAAGGACTGGTCACGGTACCCTCCGTGGCCAACAGTGATGGTAAATATTGTTGTGTGTTATAAGAACATGTTGCTCATTTTGTATACTGGAGTTTGTGTAGGGCTCTACACTTATTTGACCTTACTGTAAACATTCTTCACAAAAACAAAGTGAATAATAATACAGACCTAATTAATAAATGTGGTGTCAAACATACCTCACACAAACGTGTCTAATATGGTGCCAACATTAATATAAAATAATAGCTTTTGTCTGGTTTCTAGTCCAGATATCTAAAAATTCTTAAATCGAGTCTTTTTTTTAGACAGGCAAAAATATAATCTGATTTTCAGAAATAATGATTTAATTAAGTTATTTACTTACATTTTGATATATTTCTGGAAACAAGACTGTATTTTTACTTGTCAAGAAAATGCTTCTTGATTTCATGTTTTGATATTTGGACTAGAAACAAGACAGAAACTGAGTAAAGTATTTCTGCTTTGCATAGTTTTTCCATTATGCATTCGTAATCCGTAAATACAAAATCATTTTCTCTGCTTCAAGATGGAAGGGTTTGTTCACCCAAAAATGCTAATTCTGTATTTAATTACTCACCCACACGTCACTCCAAACCCCTGAGACCTTCTTCCATCTTCTGAACACAAATGAAGATGTTTCTGAAAGCTCTCTCATCCTGCATACACAGCAAGGTTCCTGACTTGCTCAGAGTACATAAAAATACTACACAACTACCTCAAACAGACCAAATGCCTACAGTGGTTCAGTCAGTATATTATCAAGCTACGAGAATACTTTTGTGTAAACAAATTTATCAAACAGTTTATTCTCTTCAGTGTTGGTATATTACATGCGTTCACAAGCACGTTGTACTGATAAAAGCTCTAGATGCCTGTGCATGGCTTCCTCTGTTTTTTGGATGTGTTTGGTACCTTTCTGGCATCTGAATGACCCTTGCTCTCAATGGAGGATGAAGGAGCTCTAAGATCTGCCTAAAACATCTTAATTTGTTATGAAAATGAACAGAAATATTGTTTACTGCCGTACAAAATCAACAAATAAAATATTAAAACCTTCAATGTGATTTGAGTTTGACACCCCTGTTAGATCTCTTGTCTCTGCTTGTAACCACTAAATCCTTCAGGAATATGTCCTAAAACACAATGCAGTGGTTTTAATGGATAACAAATGCTGATATTTAATGTTTTAATGGTTTTTGTAGTGGAAAACATGAAAACGTTTCTCATAGTTTTTAGTTGTTTTTGCCAAGCTTAGGGTTATCAACAACTAAAAGCAGAAAGAAATGACCTTAAAAGTCACTTAATAACTGACAGCATTTGTTCATATCAATAATAAACACTGGATAAATATTATTCAAGTAAAACTAAAATCTTTTGTTTCATATTGTTCCTTCCTTCAGGTCGACAAATCGGTGACTGGTGTGAAGAATCATCTTTGCATCTGGAGGAACAGATCAATGTTCAGACTGAGGAACCATCACTGGAGGAACCTGTTGATGGTCAGAGTGAAGAACCATCACTGGTAGAGCCTGACAGTGTTCACGGTGAAGATCCATCACTGGTAGAGCCTGACAGTGTTCACGGTGAAGATCCATCACTGGTAGAGCCTGACAGTGTTCACAGTGAGGACTCGGCCAGCTCCTCCAGCAGTGATGATGTTTCTCCAAACCTTTTCTACGCTGAGTCCAGCAGTAGTGATGACTACCCTCAAGAGATTTACTCAGCCGGATTCAACTGTAGTAGTGAGCTCACAGTCAGCTCCTACAGCAACTTCTTCTCTGCCGAGTCCGGCTGCGGTGATGACGCCTCTACAGATTTTCTGTCCGCTGAGTCCGGCTGTGGTGATGACGCCTCTACAGACTTTTTGTCTGCTGAGTCCGGCTGTGGTGATGACGCCTCTACAGACTTTTTGTCTGCTGAGTCCGGCTGTGGTGATGACCCCCCTCCAAATGTGGTCTCTGCTAAGCCCGGCTGTAGTCATGATGACCCTCCAAATGTGGTCTCTGTTGAGCCCGGCTGTAGTCATGATGACCCTCCAAATGTGGTCTCGGCTAAGCCCGGCTGTAGTCATGATGACCCTCCAAATGTGGTCTCGGCTAAGCCCGGCTGTAGTCATGATGACCCTCCAAATGTGGTCTCTGTTGAGCCCGGCTGTAGTCATGATGACCCTCCAAATGTGGTCTCTGTTGAGCCCGGCTGTAGTCATGATGACCCTCCAAATGTGGTCTCTGTTGAGCCCGGCTGTAGTCATGATGACCCTCCAAATGTGGTCTCGGCTAAGCTCGGCTGTAAAGATGTTGGTAAAGGGGCATCCTGTCAGACAGAGGGCGCTGTTTCACCTCAGCCAGAAGAGCAGAAGGATAAAGACACACACATTATTGGTAAGTTTACTATCATGACACCCCAGTCACCCAACACACATGCACATTTTAATAGTTTTTAATGACTTTTATGCTATAAACTGTCTTCAATACAGATTTTGTTCAGGGATAGCTGATAACTGAGATGGAAATATATATATATATATATAAATCATAAAAATCAAAATCATATATATAGGGAAGACAAAACTAAAAAAGGTTTTAGATGATGGGGTTAATTCTGTTGTTGTGACCCCTGATGAAGCAGGTAGTTTTAGATAAAGGTAGCACTGTCACTAATTCTCACATTTGATTAACTTCTCTTTTTTCTCTTTTCACAGAGATCAACTCACAGCACTATGAAATTGGTGCTGAGCTGGGCAAAGGAGGCTTTGGAACCGTTTTCGCAGCGACCCGTTTACAAGATGGCCTTCGGGTGGCAGTAAAAATTGCAGATTTTAAGGCTAAGCGATACATCCGTGTTGTAAGTAGTCTGTGCTCTTTGCTCTGATTAACTGTTTCCATTTTAAACATGTCATATTAAAGGTGCTAACAGTTTTAACAGGAAATAACTTTTCCATCAAATGATCCTAACAACTGTTTTTCTTCTAGGATGATTTTGACCAGCTACTTCCAGCGGAGATCGCTCTGCACTTTCTTGCCACTAAAGGCCCCGAGGTTAAAGAACTCGTTCAGCTTCTGGACTGGAAGGTGGAGGCTGATCGCTACTTTATGGTCCTAGAGCGGCCCACACCCTGTGTGAGCGTACGAGAATTTTTAAGAGAACACGAAGACAGAATCGAAGAGGAGGTAATACGGAAAATCATGTACCAGGCAACAATTGCAGCTGACACCTGCCTCCAACGTGGAGTGCTTCACCGCGATATCAAGCCTGGCAACTTGCTGATTAACCCACAGACCTATGAAGTCAAACTGATTGACTTTGGTTGTGGTGAACTCCTTACTGACGGCTTTTACAAAGAGTACTGGGGTATGTAAATCCTTCAAAGCTCTACAGAGCTCTTGTGATGGGTCAAGGGTCATTCACATGGGACTCTTGAAACATTCACTGTTGTTTATCTATACCAGGGGTGCCACAGCTCAGTCCTAGAGGGCCGGTGGCCTACAGAGTTTAGCTCCAACTTGCTTCAACACACCTGACAGAAAATGACTAGTGTACTTAGTAAGAGCTTGATTAGCTTGTTCAGGTGTGTCTAAGTGGGGCTGGAGCTAAACTGCAGGACACAGATCCTCCAGGACTGGGTTTAGTCACCCCTGATCTATACTGTTGTTTACATTTTCAGAGGGAAATTTAGATGTTGTGCTAATGAAAACAAAATCTCTTTCTTTCAGGCACAATGAAGTTCAGCCCTCCCGAGTTTAAAAAGAATGGCTATTACTACGGAGAGCCAGCAACAGTGTGGTCACTCGGGCTTCTTCAGTTTTTGTTAATGTTAAAAAAATATCCAGGCAAGCATGACCTCCGCAGGATGAAAAACAAAGATCTTTACCAATATGGAAGGTCAGAAGGTGAGATCTCCACTTCAGCTAAAGATGGTTATGTAGGACATTTTGAACGTCAATGAAAAAAGCATGTATAACTTTAAAGTAATAATTAAATGTATCTCTTCCTTTTTTTCTACACAGAATGCTGTGATTTCATCAGCTGTTGTCTGCAGCCTTGGCCCTGGTCTCGGCATAAGCTGCATGTACTCCGTGACCATGCCTGGTTTAAGGTAATGAACAGACTTTAAGGATTTTGTCATCAGTTAAATGAATCTGTCATGAGCTGAGTTTCCATTATAATGTGAAGCACATCTTTTCAAAGTTCACTAAATATATATTTTGTAATTATAAATGTGAATTATGAGCAAATGATTTCCATCAAGTTGGTCGAGCAGCTGAACTGTAGTATTGGTAACCTCGTAACCAACAGTAAACAAGGGGAGTATAATTGAGAAATCAAAGTTCATTTGACAAATGCATTTCCATCATGAACCCTTTTTCACACGAGTCTTAAATGACCTCAAGTGAGTATAAAACATTTTGTGAATTAAGGGATTCTTATTTAAACTTGTTTCTCATGTGATACTTAAAAAGGTGCATCAACACAGGCTGATGGAAACCCAGCTAGTGTCAGACGACAGTCTTGTGTTCTTAAATGTTCTCTTTTTAAATTTATTGCTTTTCTTTTAATTATATGTTGTTTGTTTAATTCATTAATGCTGTAAATCTGACTGTTTTTGTTTCAGGAGGAGAACAAGGAAGAGGAGGAGAAATGAGGAGAAATGTCCTCACTTAATGGGTGGATCTAGCCCTTTTAAACCACACCACCATAGTCCTATAGCTAAACATAACTTCATCCATAGAAATCTGAACATAATTTGGTTCTGCAGTGTCATAGCTCTTTTTTTAACACTTACACTGGCTCTAATTAAATTTCCTGTAAAGAAGAAAAAAAAATTATTAAGCACTTAACAGTTTAGACCTTCAAATAGTGTACATAGCCCTTTCCACACTTTTTATACCAGCTTTTGGTTTAACTTTTGCACTTCCACATGCTAAAAAAAAAAATAATAATAAAAAAAAAATATATATATATATACATATACATATATATATATATATATATATATATATATATATATATATATATATATATATATATATCTCAGTCGTTCCCAGTCCAGGTCCACATATTTTGGGTGTCTCTCTCTAAAAAATGTAATTTGAGCCAGAGGAGAGAGACTCCTGACCAAAGACTACTGGGATCAACTGATATATATACAGGGTTTCCAATGAACATTATCACTCACCAGCCAATTTGGCCACAAAACTGGAAAAAAATAAGACAATAAAAAAAGTAAAAAAAATAAATATATAAAATAAAAAACATAAATAATAAATAAAACAATAAAAAACTATAACTGGCCATGTTATTAACTAATCAGAAATCCTTCTAGAAAAATATTGAATAAAACATAAAAATGTAAGTTATGTTATTTATTACTCATCCTCATTTATTACATCCATCCTCAAAACAGATCATACGCCTTCACATAAAACAAACATTTTTACAGTTTCTTCTCCTCAGTGTGATTATAGGGGACGCGTTCACAAGCACTGTGCAGTGACATATACCCCACGGATGCCTGCGCGACTTCCTCTCTGACTTCCTCTCTTAAAAACTTCACAGGCACATCCAAGGTTATATGTCAGAGGCGCAACACGTGAACGCGCGCCCTATACTGACACTGAGGGAAGAAACTGTTGAATAAAGTTATTTCTGTTTTATGTGTCATTCCCAGTCCAGGCCCATATATTTTGAGTGTCTCTCTCTAAGAAATGTAATTTGAGCCAGAGGAGAGAGACTCCTGATAAAATATAAAACACCATTAATAAATAAAACTATAAAAAAGTAAAAAAAAATAAAATAATAAAAAACATCATTAATAAATAAAACTATAAAAAACTGCCTATATTGAAACATAAATCTATAACTGGTTATATTATTATGTTATTGACCAATCAGAAATTCTAATAGAAACAACAAAATTAAATAAAACATTAAAAAAGTAAGTTATGTTATTTATTACTCATCCTCATGTTCATCTTCAGAACTATTTTAACTATTTTTATTTTTATGTTAGAGCTCCCTCATCCAGACTCAAAGTCCACAAAAACAGTAAAAAACATCCTCAAAACAGATCATACGCCTTCACATAAAACAAACATTTTTATTCACAGTTTCTTCTCCTCAGTGTGATTATAGGGCACGCGTTCACAAGCACTGTGCAGTGACATATACCCCACGGATGCCTGTGCGACTTCCTCTCTGACTTCCTCTCTTAAAAACTTCACAGGCGCATCCAAGGTTATATGTCAGAGGCGCAACACGTGAACGCGCGCCCTATACTGACACTGAGGGAAGAAACTGTTGAATAAAGTTATTTTTGTTTTATGTGCACATAAAAGTATCCTCATAGTCAGGAATCTTGCTGTCTATGAGAGATTAAGGAGCTCTCAGATTTAACTAAAATATCTTCATTATTTTCATTCAGATATCTTCATTTGTGTTCTGAAGATGAATAAAGTTACTACCTTTAGTATTTGCTTTAATATTGTCCTCATATACAACCTTCTCTAGTCTAATGTTTTGCTAATGGTATATGATTTATGGTTGGAGGACATCATTTATTGACTAGTGATTTTGTGTGTAGTTGTAGTTCATGGTGAGTGATAATCCAAACCCTGTATATATAGGTGGCGAAGTCCGTTCCTCCACGTGGTGCCACTGGAAACTGCCCATCTTAAAGGTGGTGCTGAGCTGAACACGGACAAAAACTGACATTAGTCTGGGGCGACAAGCCTCACAACTGATGACAATGATGAATTTTGTACTAAAGTTTGAAATAAAGTCACATTTGTCAAAAATAAGTGCTTCTTCTATTTTTAAAGGCTGATTACTGCTGTTTACTGTGTTTCAAATGAGATCATCCAGGAACAAGAAATGACAACGTTTGTAGATTTAACAAAGATTAGCTGGATTTAACGCTACTCAGCTGAATGTGTTTGATGTACAGTACAAGCATACATGTGATGGAATATTTAGCATTTAAGAACAAATGCACTGTAAAAATGCTTCCCTTCCAGCCGCAACACAGCACCATGCTGGGAAACACTCATACACTCTCATTCACACACTCATTCACTATGGCCAATTTAGTTAATTCAGTTCACTTATACTGCATGTGTCTGGACTGTGGGGGAAACTGGAGCACCTGGAGGAAACCCACACAAACACAGGGAGAATATGCAAACTCCACACAGAAAGGGCAACTGGTCCAGCCAGGACTTGAACCAGCAACCTTCTTGCTGTGAGGTGACAGTGCTAACCACCGAGCCCTGATCTTTTTCAGCAGCACTTAATTTTCCAACAACAGCACTCCCTAATGTATTCTTTAACCATCTGTTTGTCCTGCTTCTTTGTTTATTTCAAGATAATAAAAATACATACACAGCTAAAATAACTAAGACTTGTCACTGCATCTACATCTTGTTGTTTTCTGGTGATCTGAAGTGCTTCTATTATCTTCATGCTTTGGATATAAGTGTCTGCTAAATGTAAATCTATTTAAAGTTCAGTCATAGCAATGGAAATACAAAGAAATTGGGTTTTTGATTTGATGTATTACTCATTTTATTAGCCACAGTCAGTGTTATTAGGAGTGTTAATAAAGTGAAATGCTTTAATGTTTATCAAGAACACACTCTAAGATTAATAATAGTTGTTTTTTTTACCTGCATTTCCTCTGAAAATAAATACAAGCGATGAAAATCACTGAAGATGTCTGCTGTGGATGTGGTATATGTGTCCAGTTTCTAACGTTTTCCATACGCTTGAGTCTGCTAAAAAACAGAACAAAGAGAGAAACTTTAAACAGCTCATTTGTGTCAAACATCAGAAGAATCTCAGCATCAGAAATAAACAGACGGTTAAAACATCTCAGACTGCTGATTAACTGTGAATGACTGTTTTATATTGATTATATAAATACAGATACTTCTGTAAATCTGTTTTATTGGCAAAACTGGAACTATTTTAATAAAATAATATAATGAATGAGTGCACCCCACTGAATGTGTGAAGAGAAAACATTAAATAGAATTTTAATTAACAGGGAAATTTATTGACGCCATGCATCCAAAATAACTGGTTTAGATTAGATTACTAGGAGGTGTAATTGTATTTGCAATACCTTGTTTAATTTGAGTGTAGTGTTTTATTAACCTGTATACGTTGAGAGCAATCTCTTATGTTAACGGTTTAATAAAAGTGTTCATTAAAATTTCTGCAATACACATGGTTGTTGTTTATTTAGAAACATTATAATTTTGTAACAGTTGTGACCGATCAGACACATAATTATTTTGATTTATTCCACGAATGACACCATCAACCTCTCCTACCCAGGAGTCAGGGGCGCCTCCAAGGGGTGGCCAGGGGTGGCCACGGCCACCCCTCGGTAAACTCTGGCCACCCCTTTGGCCACCCCAATATAATTTTGCGGTTGACATTATTGATTTAAATGAACTTATAAATTCCCAATATTTAGATAAATAAATAAATACATAAATAAATAAATAAAATGCAGTCACTAAATTATTGTTGGTGTTACTGACGTAGCTCTCCCCCTCTGGTTCAATGCTGGTGAAAGCAAACTGACGCATGCTCGCGGAAAACCATTCCCGCGCGCCTCACGCACTCCTGTGTGAATCCCGGTTGGTTGTTTGCATGCACGCCGACATAATAGGCACCGCTCATGCGCCGTGAAACCGGAGTAACAGCCTTTTATGCAGAAGTGTCGGCACGCAGCGAGTTTTGAAAGTCGTTTAAAGTTTATATAATATGATGATGATGATGATGATGATGTTACTTTCACTAAGCATGCCTTTAAAGCAGAAAGGAGGGATAATGAGTCAGGGAGGTAAGACTTCATAACATGATTTCTCAGCCATGATCTGGTCTAAGACCACAGATAATTCTATAATACATTTTTTGTATTCTTTAGAATTGTCATAATTAATTTTCATGCAAAAGGTTTCTTAAGTGATGTTGGCATATCACTCCAGTTGTTGTTTTCCAGTAATATTTAGGACTGATTTCTGTTATTTATTTAGAATAATAATTGTATATTAATATTAATTGTATTTATTTAGAATAAATATAAATAAATTGTTATATTTATTGAATAACAAATCTAACAATTCAAGAGAGGTGGGGGTGTATAGGGTGGTTCGCCCAGGGTGTAATTTAAACTAGAACCACCACTACCCTCCCCGATCGTCCTTGACAGCACACACACACCTTCAATAGACAGCAATGGCTATTTAATATTTACCTTAAGCTACATTATATCAATAGAAG